TTCTTCTTCTTCTTCTTCTTCTTCTTCTTCTTCTTCTTCTTCTTCTTCTTCTTCTTCTACGTCTTCTTCTTCGATCTGCCTTGAATTCTTTAGATACAGCCGGTATTGCTTTCATGAAGAGGATCACGGTTTCAATAAAAACTTGCTCACTGGGAGATGACGAGGGGGTGGGGGCAACAATAATCATCCATACTCTCAAAATCTATTATTGTGAAACAGAAAAATACATTTAAAAAAAAAAAACGTTTCATATTAATTTATTCATTTTTGTCAACAAAATAATACTATTATTTTTTTGGCCCAAAGCATTTTGAGTAATCCTTGGTACCTTGACAATAATGTAAAAAGTACACTTTGCAATGGTTATAATAAGTTTCTTTGTTCACAGCTCTTGTACACTTGGCGTGTTTCACACAATAAATTACAATTCTTTTCAAATTCATTTCAAATGCACAATGTGACAGGTGGCAATAAAAATACATGGTATTCACTGTTTATAGATCTAACAGCAATACACTGGAATGGAGAAAGATCAATTTTACAGTGAGTGGATCAATAGCCATGTCATTTTAAATGTCACATCACATTTTTACTTTGCATTTTTTATAAGGTAGACACTATGTGGTAATCGGCCTAGAAATAAAGTCAGAAAGTTTATTTTTTTAATGCTTAATTGAATTCACTCTTATGCCAGTAAAGGCTTTATGCTATACTGAGCAGAAGTAAAAATAAACGTACAGTTTTTGTTTTTCTCGTCTTGTTTTTTATTTCCTCAAATATGATACGCTTAATAAAACCGCACCCATCATTATTATTACAAAAAATGTAACTTATGACTTAGCTGTGGAGAATGGCCTGGTAGCTGGAGAAAAGATATTGGACTTTTCTTCATTCATGAGCGTACAAGGAAAAAGAAAAGGTCAAACAACTTCCAGTCGTGTTGACAGCCACTCAAGAGAGATTTCGAGCCTAGGATGTGGAGAGTGCATAAATGATCTCCTTTGTGCTTTGCTGGGAACAAGACTGGAATTCGCACGAGAAGTTTTTGGAGCAATTCAGTTTTACAATGTGAGGGAAGTGTATAAAGCTGAGGATTAGGCAAAAAAAAAAAGAACAACCCAACAAACAAAGCAATAGCAACAAAGGTCTATAAAAATAATAATTCGGAGAAAACATTATTGAGCTTTGAAAGGCTTACTTGATAAGTCAGGTTAAAAGCAAACGACAAGACTTTGAGCATCAGAAAAGCCTGAGGCATCATCATTCGGTCTTTGTTTTCAAACCCTCCATATCTAATGCGCTAATATGTGGGAGTGCAAGAGTACACCCCAACATTTTTGTAAAACAAAATAGCACCTTCAAAACAAAAACAAAAGAAAAAACAATAGCGAAAGAGATTTAGCCCTCCAAAAAAACTTTAAAAATTACAATAGAATGCTGAAAAATGTTGCAGAAACAAAAGCACGAAGTATCAATTGATGAAAACGAATTTTGTGAAATGGCCTGACATAGCAAAAACCACAATTAAAACATTATGATGCACGTTCAACTACAGACTTCAACATAAGTTAAGGACCACTTACAAACACTCTGAGTGGTATTCTTGGGTCGACGTGCACGTGGGCATTCTTGGACTGATCCAGTAGCTTGATGGCGCTACCTCATGCGGACACGACAGAGTGTGACACTGCAAACCTTTTGGCAACTTCTCGGGCTCCAACTCTATCCTGCAGCCATGCCATAGCTCTGGCACAATCAAAGACTCCCAGCTTTCGTCTTGGTGGCATGTTGATGCGATACTGGATTTTGCGCAAACGACGATTTATATTGCCACCAAAGTGAGCACAGTTCGAGACCATACATCCGTTTATGACGTGCATCAGAAATTTTAACTGAGGAATGTCCGTGGTGCCGCACACAAGTCGATAAAAAACCCCGGAAAATTTGGCTAAAATTCCCCAAGAATATCCGTGCTGCCCGTGGTGGTTTTGGCCCTTTAGGAAGCTTTGCAGTGTTCATTGGTGACCCATTAACACTTTCAAAGCAAAATATTTTGAAGCATTCCTTGCTGTCTTTTTTTCAGATTTAAAAAAAAATCAGGGCTGTCTGTCAAGGTGGTCTTAAACTTATGTTGAAGTCTGTTTAAACAGACCGTAAAACCAGTTTTTAAAACCATGTCTGTGATGAAATCGTTAGGCACTTCGCTGTGTATGTAGAAAAACCTGGTTTCGATTACCATTTGGGGTAAATTTTCATCGAGTATCTCCGTCTTGCTGAAGGGACGTTGTATCCCTCTCACATGGGGTTGGTCCTGTCAGGCAGAGTAGAAACCTGCCTCCTAAAGTATCTATATTGTGTCCACGGGGGCATAAATGTCTCCAATAAAAACGGTTTTCAGTTCGAATTCCGACCAATAATAAGTTAAAAAGAAATGCACTTCCTCACTACCCATCCTCCATGTCCACACCCCTCTCCTGCACCACTCACCTAACCCATTCCAATCTCATACATCAACAGCCTAGTCTTTATTGCTTCTAACCTGAAGAAAACCGACTGAGCACCACCTAACTCTGGCTGAACCTACAGAATGGCAGCAAGAAAACTATACAGATCTGAGCAAGTCTAACTAACTCAGTTTTGCGCGAAGCGATAGGATCGCCCCGATTGAAGTTTGTTTCCTCCTATAAATCAAGTGGAATGCCACTCGAATAAAACCACTCTCAAGACAAAAATATTGGCGAAAAAAAATTGGAATATGCATACACACATATAAACATGCGCGCACACATACACACGTGCATATACACACATACACACACATACACGCACACACACACACACACACATACACACACACGCACGCGCTTGCACTTATACACACATACACATATACACACACAAGCACACACACGACCCATCAAAATCTGAATCTTTGCAGAAAGACCATAGGCACCTCCGTCTGTCTATCTGTCTGGCTCCTTTTCCCGTGTGAATCGCTTTTTGTAACTCAAAAGGAGAGTCAGACAGGTTTGACAGTACATATAGACGGGCAATACACTGGAAAACAAATAGCTTAGTTTGTTGGATCAATGTCCCATGCACATAACAGGAAAACTCGATCAGCTGGACGCTTCGTACTCATTCTACACTTAAAACTTCCAGTCCATCACGAACACCATGTTCCTGCTACCTTACACCCATAAGGTCACCTGGATACATCCACATTCTAAACACTGGCACCTGGCTGACTCCGTGAGATCACCAAGACTCCGGACATCAGTGGCGTCCCCACATGTTGAGAACAATAAGAGGAGGTGATTGCTCTTCTGGCGATTTGCATCTGAGAGCAAAGTTCTCGTTCTCCATCACCAGCACGCGCAGACAGAAACATGTCAGATACGTCAACCTAGACATTATGTCTTACGTCTATTCCTGGGAGCGTCTTGCGCGTATAGCGAGGGCGATGAATCCAACGATGTAAAAACCGATCATGATTGCACACAGGCACCCGTAGTTCAAGTCAACGTCGTGCTGGGGACAGGATAAGATACACTTAGTTCCAGGGTATTTGACTGGGCTCAACAGAGAGTCAACAACAAGCAGAAATTTTACCCTAAGGTAGATTAGGATTTAAACAGCGTTGGCGAAAAAAAGAATACTTAATACACATTATGACCGATACACCATTTAATAATGCCACTTTCCTCCATACTATACACAATGAACTTCGAACAACCACATGTAACCAATGAGCTCGTACTTCAATACCCCAATATTGTGTCTGTTGTGCAGCTGTTAAGCGCTTCGTTGTCGCATGCAGAGGACCAGAGTTGTTTTTTTTAGTAGAGGTTTTACGGCGCTCGCAACTGCAAAAGGTCATATGAGCGCCAGAAGATTAGAGGTGTTACAAGAGAGTAACAAACATAAAAAAGAAGAAGGGGAGATAATGACGATAGATGTTTGATAGGAAAGAAGAAGCAAACCAGCCCAGAGCACCCGCCAACCACCCATGGACCAGAGTTTGAAATCCTGTCTGGAGAGAAATGTTATCGAGTATCTCCTCCTTTCTGCTAGGACGTTGTATCCTACTCAGCTTGGGTTGACCCTGACATGCAAGGTCGGAGAAGTCTCCGACTTCTATACTTCTATTGTACATAACAGCTTGCACTAAAAAGATTAATTCCATCTTTTTAGACTACAAACATCCCTTGTTCCCTCAAATAAAAACATCAGTCAGAAGTAAAAGACCTAGGCTTCAGATCTGTAACAAAGAAAGATACAGAAGGTCATTTTTACCATCATCTATCAAAATGCTTCAATCTTAACCATCTTGTATGAGTATACTTACGATCTTAGAGCATGCATCAAAATAACATTGAGTGTGTATCTAGCTTACGATTATTATTTTTCATATTGCTACTCATTTATATAAAGCTTGTGATTGTAAGCCTATGCGTGTGTGCATGTGTATGCGCGCGCGCGCGTGTGTGTGTGTGTGTGTCTGTTTGTATGTGTGTGTGTGTCTGTTTGTGTGTGTGTGTGTGTGTGTGTGTGTGTGTGTGTGTGTGTGTGTGTGTGTACACGTGGTGAAACATCAAACCAATGTGCCAGGATCAGGACAATAAAGATGTATCTTATCTTAACTTATCTTATCTTATCTTATCTTATCTTATGTCTGATATAAACTGAGTCGATGGAAGCGTAAAACACCTACATGTAAATACAAAATACGAATGGTACAAGGAGAAGACAATAAAAACAATAAGAGGAGCAACAGCAAAGAAATAACTTGATCAAGAACAGCGGCAGTAAACACAATCACAGCAACAGCAACAAAAACAACGGTAGCAATCACTGCATCAAATTACGGTAATAGCAAATGAAATCAAACATGCACTAAGAAAAACAACGGTAGCAATCACTGCATCACATTACGGTAATAGCAAATGAAATCAAACATGCACTAAGAAAAACAACGGTAGCAATCACTGCATCAAATTACGGTAATAGCAAATGAAATCAAACATGCACTAAGAAAAACAACGGTAGCAATCACTGCATCAAATTACGGTAATAGCAAATGAAATCAAACATGCACTAAGAAAAACAACGGAAGCAATCACTGCATCACATTACGGTAATAGCAAATGAAATCAAACATGCACTAAGAAAAACAACGGAAGCAATCACTGCATCACATTACGGTAATAGCAAATGAAATCAAACATGCACTAAGAAAAACAACATCTCACAGGATCCATGCTGTTGTAAGCCAGAACTTCAGCCCCAGTGTTGAACTGGCATGCACGGACTCGACAGATCTCCTCCATGGTCATGTTGGGAAAGATGGTGGCGTTCCTATTCTCGCACGCTGAAGGTTTGGGAAAGATAACAGATAATAATGGTTTTAACGAATAGACAGTGGCGAGGGTTTTACCCATAAAACCAACTTTAACATTCTGTTAACATGGATTTGCTCCCCTCACCTCCCCAATTCTCTCTCTCTCTCTCTCTCTCTCTCTCTCTCTCTCTCTCTCTCTCTCTCTCTCTCTCTCTCTCTCTCTCTCTCTCTCTCTCTCTCTCTCTCTCTCTCTCTCTCTCTGCCCTTTCCCATTCTCTCTACCCCTCTTTCTCTCTTTCTCCCCCCCCCTCTCTCTCCCTCTCTCTCGTTCTCTCACTCCCTCACTAGCATCTTTATCTCTATCATGATGTTCATTTAGACTGAATACACAATAAACAGGAAACTGCATGCCGACCCTGAGAACGGAAGGTTGTATTAAATGAGCCATCATTATTTTGCTTTCTCCTCTTTACAATCTAACCTGCCTTCCAAACGTGTCTAACTACGTAAGAATTTCACAGATACATGTCTGTAGTAAAATGCACTTACCTATGTGTGACTTGCTCTCCCATTGGCTCACAAGCATTATTTCATTGGCATACTTGAACCATGACATCTTTTCCAGCCAAATAAAGTAGACCGGTGTATCGCTGTTGACAGGAAAAAATTGGTTAAATGCTGTGCAATTTCTGTCAATCTTTTAAAATGATAACTTTTCATCCAAACATCCATACTTGTTTTATTTCCTTGTTAGGTGTTTTGTGTGTGTGTGTGTGGGGGGGGGGGGGGGATAATTTTTATTTAATTTGATTACACTTAAGAGAAGTCCGACGTAACAACGAAATACTTAATCTGTAAGGACGGGACACAACTAATGGGAAATGCATCAGAAGTTAATTTGTTGCAGGTGAGAAAAGACCATAACTATTCCTTTAGGCCTCAAACCACAAGCTACTTCGTGTCATTCGCAGTTCACTCACTGCTACGGTAGTGCAAGTTTAATCATATAATTTATTCTGAACGGTTCTTCATAGACCAGTCATCGGTTGCCTCATTGTAAGACTTCAAAAAGAAAATAGAGCATTATTTTTTTTTTAAAACGTCCTCTCAATTCTCTTTACTGATAGAGACTAATCTCTCAAATACCTACTCTTTAATCACAATTCCTTCAAGAAGTCTGTGTCATTGATACGACCCAAAATGCCCTAAAATACTGACGCTTTCTTAATAATACATGTAATAATAAATTGTATGACGCAAATTCCCGATCAACAGCGAGCTCTACTGTGCTTTACAATTTGTAATACATGTATTATTATTATTATCCCAGCAAACCTGTTAGCATTCTGAAACAATCTCAAGTTCCTAGGAAGCATGCAGTGCAAGCTGTCATTTTACAAGAACGTAAACTGTGTAGCTGTTCATACTTGGCTGAAGGGAGGAAAATTAGTTTAAAGTGAGAAAATAACGTCGGGCCCCAAACGTAGCCCATTGGGATGTCCATGAGATATCCCTACACGTCATTATATACCCTCTATAAAAACGAACGCCTGACTCGGCCCACTGACAAAAATATTCAATCTTTGACCTATGATAAGAGATATGTGCACAACCTGTACTTTTTCATTATGGAAACTTTATTTAACAAATGAGTGTTTTATGATGTGATATGGGCCAATGGCCTTAAACACTGAATAAACTTATTTACTAACGTATAGAAAAGAAAATACGTTCATACGTTTTGTGAATTGACTTCCTATACCAATTTTTAGCTTATGAGATTGTTTTACTCACTGTCTCTAGGAGTAGTAAAATGACTCAGGCCAAAACGTTACCAATATGATGGTACACAGCATTATGGTCTATCTCAATAAACATCAACATCTGTCTGTTCTTTCATTTTAAAGTATGATTCATCAAAGTCAGTTATCACTACCTTGATCATGATCTATTAAAATAAGCTGGTGAGTGTGCTTTCTAGACTTGATTCAAGTCGAAATGACAGGACAGCAGCTAAAATGACCCTGAAAATAAATTTCCATCTTGATTATGGACACAGAAAAATTCTTGTGTTCTACGTATGTAGCGAAGGCTGCATAATGCCAATATATTGCAGACCTACGATGTACACTCTGATGTAGTTCCGGTTCACTATAGAGCCCACGATTTGACTAAATTTGGTACCAAATGAAGGGCCAGTTGGGGAGGAAAGGGGGAGGGAGTTTCACAAGCAGAAAACCTAACTGAGATAGATGTTTTGCCTTTAATTTGGGTGCTCATGGTGTGAACATTTCGTAGCAACATTTTTTATAAAGAGCAAAGAGCGGCGGATATATAGGTGCACGGTCAAGGATTTTTTATCTCAAGTCTATGACTAGTACTTATTACAACAGTATTATCAGACGGTCATACGTCTTAGAGTGAAGGAAGTGAATTAAGGTAAACTTACTCCGCGTTCAAGAACAGACCACCAAACAAAAGGAATGGCACGAGGACAGGGGACGCTATTGACAAGGCGATGGTGGTGTCCCCGGCAATCACAGATATGACGTACCCTGCAAACAAAACCAAATTAAAAGATCAATACATAGATACATGAATTCATAACCTTTTTCAATATAGATGATTTTACGCCCTAATCGACAAAATTTAGATCAATTTTAGGAAGCAGGCTTCGGCCCTGCCTGTCAGGACTAACCCGGGCTAAGAGGAATACAACATCCCATCAGACAGACCAAGTACTCGATAAAACTTCAGCCTACTCGGGAATCAAACACGGGTCATCTGCCAGCCACAGCAAAGTGTCTAGCTGCTACAATGCACACAACGGTGTTATGTAGGCCCTACATGTTCTAAAAAACTAAAGACAAACCAATAGGAACGACTGTTTCGGCTCTTTGCCTCCATGAATATGAGGCGAAGAATTTCGTCACAATTTACTAGAGTTCCATTCTCTTTCTTAATCCAGAGAAAAAGGTGAAACATTGAGACCTGGAAGTAGCCAAAAGTTCTGTATTACTAAAGTTTATTTAAATTACTTTCAAGAGAACAACTTCAAAGCACACCAACATTTTAGGAAATGGTATACACAATTTTTTTTTAAATTAGTGAATTTATCAGCACCATCTATCGTTCTATAATATCCATCCATCCATCCATCCATCCATCCATCCTTCCATCCATCCACCTGTCTGTCTGTCTCTCTGTCTGTCCGTCCGTCCGTCCGTCCGTCCGTCCGTCTGTCTGTCTGTCTGTCTGTCTATCTGTCTGTCGGCCTGTTTGTCTGTCTGTCTGTCTGTCTGTCTGTCTGTCTGTCGGTCTGTCATTTCTTACCTAGACCCACCGAGGTAATGGCCACCAGGATTAAAACCCCGCAACAGATCATGAACCCGTCTGTAGTTTCCTTGAGGCCTGGAACAAGCAGGAAATCTTAGTATAAGTAAACTTGAGAACCCATTCCAAGCGTACAAGACCTACTAGGCACGCCAAAGCTCTCTACTATCAGTGGAGCCACATTTGAATTGCCATGTCAATCACTGAAGTTACGTTTAACTTTATCTGAGAACGTGGGTCGAGATTAATATTAAATGAAATCCGAAGGTAACAGTTGTTCGCATGCTGCAGTAGTGGTGTTTGTGAAAGTTTGAGGAAATAACAGCACAACTAAATACAGTGGAGTTCGCTTAAAGTATACACGCTTTATCTTTGAACAATCGGTTGAAGTGAACGATATTCTGTGGTCCCGATTGAAACGCTTTTTGTTTCAGTTGAATAATAGTGGATAAAATGAACCGGTTTCAGGGCGAAATCTGACAAAGTGAAGGCCCAAATTGAGTGAAAGCGAAGAATGGACAGGCCGTGTCACTGTGGCCGCGCAGCGAAAATAAAATTCTTTGCCTTGGGCATCCGCAGACAATCCCACCCCCCGGGGCGATGTCACTGACTGTAGTGTCTTTAGGCCATTCCCAAAGGGGGGACATTTCTCGTTCAAGCATAGTAGAATTGTAAATGGGCTGACTCATGTCACGTTCATAACTGTGCTTGATCTACAACAGGGAACTGCTTTTTTTTCTTTCCTGATCCTTACTATTGTCATTTTCCTCTATTTCTTTTGTATGTTTGTCACTCTCCTGTGACCTGCTATTTCAGGGGTGCCTTGATAGTCGAAGCAGACCTTGTGCTGTTGAAGCTAGAGAGATGAGCAGTCTAAGTCTGATTCCCTGTAAAGACTTCTCTGTTGACATCCGCCCCTTGGCGCTCATATGACCTTATTATGCAGTTGCGAGCGCCGTAAAACTCTACTATAAAAAAGGCAACCCCAGCTCGGCGTTGACGACGGCAATCCTAGAAAGAAAGAGCTCTAGTCTAGGCTCGCCCGCTGTATTGTCTCCCCACCCCACCTCCACCCTAGACCCACCACTGCGCGTAGCTATTGTTTCTAGGCCTCCACCCTACAAAAACTGTTAAACTGAACCTCGGATAAAGTGAACACGTTCTTCTGGTTCCAAAGAAATCACTTTAAGCGGACTCCACTGCATTATGCTCTACCTATATCAGGCACTGCAAACTGTACTGGGCAATATCTTCTATTTATGACACAATGTGTATTACGAACAAGATTTCTCTAAAACATTTCCATGTACTGCTATGCTAAGCACAGCTGAACATAGCTGAACACCTTAGAGTAGTTAATAAAACAAGAACATAGATCTTTATGGTACATTCTGCATTTCGTTGTAACGGTCCCTGACATATAATAATAGGACATCCAGTTAATCTCTTTTATTAACCTGGCTTGGAAAATTGAGGTAAATTATTTCTTCTTTTTCCTTTTAATAACAAACTTAGCTTCATTTTGTTGACATTGTGATGTCGCCAATTGTTCTGTAGTTTCTATACATTTTCAGGTGAACTTACTTCGGAAGACGGCTTTACAATATGAAACTTTTCATAAGCCTCTACTAATACTAATATGCCTTATTTCTCAGGTTTAGAGACGTATAATATGACAGTTAAACTGAACACTTCAAATGAATAAACGAACAAACTAATTACCCATCATCCAATAGGTCACTGTGGCGAACATTACTGTAACGGCGGCAAACAACGGCAACTGGGGAGGTATTGAAGGGCATGTTAGGCTTACTAAATGGGCATCAACAAACTGTGGAAAGAATAACAAATTAGGTATTCATACAACCGAAACTGGGTGTATTACGGTCACTGTTGAGTATAAGAATAAGGATTTATTACGATGACTAACTATTAAGAATAGGAATAAGAATAAGAATTTAAAAAAGAATAAGAATGAGAATGAAAATAAAAACAAGAATAAGAATACGATTAAGGATAAGAATAAGGATGAGGATAAGAGTAAAAATATGAATAATAAATATAACAATGAGAATAAGAACAAAAATAATAATATTATTTATAGTAGTATAAGCATAAGGGCTCGTGGGATCAGCCTAAAAGGGGATGGGGGTGGGAGCCACGTATTTCGGGGATTTAGAATTTGTCTTGTGTTTAGGATACCAAAAAAGACGTTTTGAAAAACAATACATTAAAAACTGGATGAGTATTAGATGCCACGGCCATTTACGATCCATTGCTATGTTTCTCACCTCTGAGAAGGCCTTCGTAATGTAGTAGATGTCTATTCTGTACAGTCCAGTTCCCAATTCTCTCATGACGATGCCCATTTCTTCAGGAAAGGACTGTGGACATCAACATCCATTTGAATTACTAATAAATATAACAATCGTTTAACCATACGCAGTTCCCTTTTAGGAAGGTTATAGCAAAGTGCGTCTGTGTTTTATAATGGTTAGCTTATTCGCAGTACAAATTACAGATGAGTTTAACTTTTCCAAAGCGAAAGAAACCTCTAGGGAATGTTTATTTAAAAAAAAAATAATAATAATAAATATATATATATATATATATATATATATATATATATATATATATATATATATTATATTTGTTACAACGATCCTATTTAGTCCCCGTTAGCCTTGCAAGTCAGGGTCTGAGTTGTCCACCTCCTAAACGATCAATATTATGTTCTCAATGGGGATACCAAACGTTAGCAGAGAACCAACTACTTAATGATCAATCATTCAATTAATTAATCAATGATTAAATCAACCAAAATTATAGCATATTTTCCACACTAACGTTTACCACCAGTTCACCAGGTTTTGCAAATAACCTGAACCAGAAAGTAGAATAGCCATTTTTTTAAAGCTAGCTATAACAATGAGCAAATGAGCATGGTATCCACTGTCTCAGAAAATAAAAAGGTTACCCATGTGCGTAATGGATAGGACGATTCTTTACATAGATCAGTGCATATTATTATATTCGGCGTATGATCCTCTTTTACCAATAGCGATCCTTTTGATAACCACTATGCTTCCTCAAAAGTCGAAACTCTTTGATTTTAAGTGGCTTTCATTCAGTTTGCCTCTCAATAATTTGCGTTTGTTTCGGTTAAATGTATTCACATTTGATTCTTATTCAAAGGAACCTTTCCATACGGAGTAGCAATACGAAGACAAACATCTTTGAATGCACGCAAACGAAAAATTCCAAGCCTCTTCTCATTTTGAAAAAAAAAACCCACCCACAAGGAGCTACATTTAGTCATGTCTTTCAAACCTCACATTGGAAGTTATGCAATTCAAGTCCCACGGTCTTCAGTTGTTAGTTTCAGAAAACTATACGACAACGGGTCTCATTACATCAGGCAGAGAGTGCCACAAAATAAGCGCCAAAGACGTAGAATGACCGAAACATTTTCGTAAAACACATATTAAAAATAAATAATAAAAACATGACTTACTGTGAGCACAGCAAAGAGGTTCGTAAAAGAAATGTTCACGATCAAGAGGAAGACACCGCCGTTTATGTTCTGAACTCCTTTCTGATCAACTTCCAACTGGAGGTATACCAGCCCCAACACAAGTGCAATTGCCTGAGGAGGTCAACGGCACTTAACCATTTTAAAACAAAATTATGACGTGTTTAATTTGAGCACATTGGAGGTATACATGGTGGTCATGCTTACAACATTAGGCCCTATTGCACGCCTACGAGACATGGACACTTAACAAGCAAACACCATGCCAGAAAACTTCAGCTATTAACATAAATGCCCTTTTTGATCTGCCTTGCATTTTCATTCTGCCCAAGAAAAATCAGTCAGAATGGGCAGTCCACCTCGCTTGGATGTCTTACACATATTAGAAGATTGTCTTCTCCAAAGACTGTTCCGTGGTACACTTGTGGAGGGCAAGCGTTCACAGAGTGAACAGCAAAACTGTTTCCTAAGTCTCATAGGAGAGCTTTGAGACGACTCAGTCTCCTTGGAAACACAAGCAAGAGACCGTCCCACCTGGCGATGCAACACCAGCATGTAGCTACATACAATTAAAATTACTATTTCTCTGGTGCATTTTGGCTTGGCAATGATGTACGGATGTGTGTTTTGTGATTACGATCCATATCGTCGGCAAGCCGTTAAAATGTTATAAGCCCACGAGCAAAATATTCCTGAAGAAAATATATTTTCAGTTTTCGAAGAAATTGTACCTAAATTACATACATCTTTTTTGCTTTTCCCCATATCCTGCAACCAATACCACATAATACTATTGAGAAATTGGAGTTCTTTTTATAATCCAGATTTTGGGCTAAGTACATATTGTGAACAGCTGTCTGACGATTAAAAAATGCTTCTTTAGACATGAGAACTCTAAGGCTTACCACTGACTGAACGATCCGCACCCAGAAGAGCATATGGTCACGGAACTGGGATGTCCAGCTTCGCCAGAATAAGTTGGTCAGTTGCACGAAATACGAGGAGGTATATCTGAGGGTAGCAGTGGAAGTAATTGATAGAGTTGTTTACTGTGGGTTAGTAATACTTATTGTTGCTGTTTCTGATTTTTTTTAGTCGCATGTCCTTGTGCGTGGTGCTGTTGGTGTTGTTGCTGCTGGTGTTTTTAAGTAGTTATTGCTACTGTGTTACTTACTGTCAGATAGCAGTAAAAGTAGCAAAGCTGAGGCAGTAGTACTATTGGGAACTAAAAAGGACCCCCAAAAAATGATTCAGGACTCCAATTGATTTTGAATTTCAAACTTTCGATAGGTAGGTCAGTTGTAAAATTATTCTGTGCAAGTGCTACTTGGACAGCAAAAGAAAGAAAGAAAAACAGAAAAAGAAAACAAGAAATGAAGGTGGAAAGGGGAAAGGTGTCTCTGTTGGGGAAATACTGTCAAAAAAGAACTGGGGTTTATAAAGTTCTAATCAGAGACAAGGGAAATAACAACGAAAAATTGTGTTATAAATTTGTCCGGTGTGATGGTTATAGTTCATAAAAACTTATCGTTCTTTGCCGCAACATCACAGTGAAGGATGAAAAATGAATACAATTATGTTAGTTGATTTCTGTTTGATTAAGACACTGCATCTTAACAATGAAAAGGAAATGTGTGGCTTTTTCATGTTTACAGTTGTGTGTAATGACACCTTGTAGATTGTTTAGTTATTCTATTTCCTGTAACTGATGCATCAATAATATTTCGAACATAATGTGCATGTACAATCGTTTCTTAAACGATTTTCTCTTCTTTATTTTTTGCCGCAAGGAGGAAAAGGAAATAATATTTCATGTGAGCAAGCAGTAATAAGGGTACCATAAGGTGAAATGGGACAAACAGCTATTATTTTATTCTTTCTTTACCTTGATTCACCGGTGATCTCCTGTAACTGTGGACGACATCAGTTTTTAAAAAAATTAATTTTATAGGGCAAAATAAAAACCCGTTATAGATGATCAAAAGCATTCATTCTTTTATCAACAACATGAGCATGTACATTTTCTGTTTCTACCTGGCACAACTAAAAACGTTGCTTTTTAACAAACTGTTGCAGGTTTTTCACAAATGTAAGAAAAAAGTCAAGAGCCGTGTTCACATGTATGTGACTCTCAGTTTCAATCTCATAAAAACTAAACTATATTATTCTAATCAGAAAAATGTAGTATCACAATTTTTTATGTAGTGAAGTTCTCTATGCTCAAATGTCGGCAAAGAGAAGTGAAAACAAGTATTTTAAGAACTACAACAAACACACTTGAGCAGAATTATTCTCTTTTACGATGAGCAAACACATTGCGGTGCCACTGAAAGAAATATTAAACTCAAGGGAAATGGTAGCAACGTTGTAATTTTAAAATATGGAACACAAATAACGTTTACCCTTGGACGAAAAGGCAGTCCACGGACGAGCAGAACACTGTCTTTCAACGTGAATGAACAAAACGAGGGCGGTAAACTTTCAATAATAATATCATCGCTGTCTAGAATGCAGATTTCATGTCTCTCGATGCTGAAAATCAATGTATAGCCTATGATTGAACTTTCGCGAAGCGAAGAAACAAAAGATAAAGAAAAATACTGGCAAAAGAGAAGTTTATTAAAACATAAAGACAAAAAAGTAGCCTTGATATTTTTCACTTACCAGAACAGCGTCTGCCAATTCTGACTCACGGATCCGAATGTCGATCTCTGAATCGATGTGACTTGCCTGGGTACTCTCTAAGAAACTGTCACAGATTGCCTATAGAGCCAAAACAATCAGACTCTTTTGAGTGTATGCATGAATATATCATACTCAATTGATGTGTATGCAAGACTGAAAGAATATAAGCGTGTTGTTGTGTGTATTTAAAGACGAGTCAGTCGTTCTGCAGCAACATCACAGGACTAACAAATCAATCAAATTATTCAACTGTAAAAAAGAAGAGGAAACGGCAACCCAAAACACCCAGAACCGTCTACGTCTTATTGTGTGGTAACGGGGCACGGTTAGGGGAGTCAGTGGATTGTTTAAAATAATATATTAACATGATTTCTGTCATCACCTTTTTACCAGTCACAAAAGTTTGCAGCAACAAAAAGTAACCAATTTTCTTAGCTTTTCATCTAGTTGTTGGCAATTTTCTCACCCTGCTCACTGCGGCTATGGCCAGAATTATTCAAAACATACGAGAGGCTTTTCATCTACATTTTCTTATCATGGTTAATAGATTAACGTGTGTCAAGGAACATCGTTAAAAAACGCTTTGCTAATAAGTACTCCTCTCACATTTGTATTTTTCCGACACTCCTCTTCCTTGCCCGGGACGATGGCCAAAGTCAAGATGTAGTGGTCTGCGGGGTTGAAGTTGCGTGGGCACGGATAGTTAAGTCTGAAAAGAAATAAAGTACCGTGATTCACTTGTGGCACAAAAATATACGTAATGTTGTGTACATAATGTTTAATACGTAAATGCTTTTAATGTTCATATGAAAGTACCTGTGCGGTCTAATTTAGGCTTATAAGGTGGCTTTAACCTAAATGTTAATATACTTTTAACAAAAGATCCCGCTCACAAGTGCCCAAAATTTTTGTAAATAAAAATAAATAAAAGTAAAGAAGACACCCAGCGCGCTAAACCTGAAACCTAACAAGGCGACGCTGAAAAAGCGGCAGGTTGATTCCAAATTGTTGCTTCAAAAGAAAATGTACCAATCAAATTGTCCTAACAATTCTCCTCCCCCACCTCCTCCACCATCTTCTCCTCTGCATCGTCCTCCTTCTCCTCCTCCTGTCTTCCTACTCCTCTTCCATGTGAGTTTCAATTTCTAAAAACATGTCAATATCTCCAACCAAAGTTTTGCTTGGTCTTGCAAGAGCAGCCAATGCTGGATTAAAGAGATCAAGAAAAAAAATAAAAATGATATGTGTGATTGCGTAACATAACCATCGTTACTTCGACCCTGCCTGTCAGCCCAACCTAGGCTAAATGAGATAGTATCCAAGCAGTCGGACTGATAAGCTCGATAAAATAACTTCCCTACGCTGGAATGGAGCTCGGGTCTTCTGAGAGCAACGCCTGTAAAACCTTACAATTTCATTTCAAATGTTATTACAGTCCAGTCCAGGCTAACAGCATTAGCAATTTTACAACACCAGCAAAGATGAAAGTCATGAGTAAATGTGACTCTGTTCTGGTAATTCAAAATGGATTTATTTTTAAATTCAATAATTATTGAAAACGTTTTTTGTGTTTGAGTAATTCATAGAAGCACATCGACACAGAAATGTTTATTTGGTACTGAGAAAAAGTAAGACAGACAGCAAGAAAAAAAACAAGGAAAGTAAAGAAGTTGGATCTGCCAGTGGCGCCCTTTAACCACACGACTCAAAACCTTTATACCAGAATTCAGTAAACAAGTGGCTAAAAGAATACACTTTTAACAGAGCTCCTCTTTAACCCCTTCACTGCTGAAAAATTTCCATCAACATCTTATACCTAGAAGATTAAATGTTAATGCAATGAATATTTAAACTCAGAGAATGGTTTCAGAATAAGCAAAATCACAAGCTGCAACTAAAACAACTAAAACATGTGTCAACCAGATGAAACAATACGAGTTGAGAATACAAGCCAGAACCTACGTCTATCCAGCAGTGAAGAGGTTTAAATACTTCGTTCTCACCTTGTGAAAAAATCGATGGCGTCCTGGGATGACCCCATAAAAGCCACTCTACCTTCAGACAACAAGAGGACCCTGTGAAGGAATGGCGAACAATATTATTTAAAAGTATTAATATTTTTGGAAACGACATCAGAGGACCAAAGTAAAATTTGACAATAGAACATAACATTTTTCTTACCAGGAAAATCATGCAAACAAAAATTTGTCCCCAAAATAGTAATATTATTATAATGAAATAGTTACAATTCTTTAAAGACAAATTCAGACGGGGAAAGCTTATTTACCTCTGAAAAATTATGATTAACAGCTACAAACATGAATGATTTCATTGTATTCTGTCTGTATAGCTATAATATATGAGGACATAATTTCTAAGATTAAAAAGAAAGCTAGCAACTTACTGGTTAAACAAAGCAAATAATTCTGAGGACGGTTGGTGAATGGTGCACAGAACTGCTCGTCCTTTTGAGGCCATTTTCTGAAAAACAGAATTTAAGAATATAAAAGTTTCTATTACAATGATATTGTTTTAATATAGCATGATATACATAGTAAACAAGTTTGAAGGCTATTCCATAATATTATACATTGTTTAATGTCAATTTTAAAATAGAAACTGAGATACGAACACTTTTTTTTTCTTTCTGTCCCCGTCTCCTTTCTCTCCCTCCCATCTCCCTCCCCCCACACACACACTCTCTCTCTCTCTCTCTCTCTCTCTCGGTCACTCTCTCCCTCTTTCTCTCGTAGCTATCTCTCTATCTCTTTATCTCTCTCCCTCACATATGACATTCTCTACCATTTTCATTTTCACATTTTATAACTTTGTCCATATATCACTGAAGACAACTACTATCATTAGCATTCTATTCTATACAGTGAAATTTCCAAGACCGTTAGACTAATTATCCTAATAATTATTTGTAAATGAATGAGTTCTGAAAGCTCAAGACTGCCTTCAAACAAGACCCCACTCACTTGAAGAGTATGCACAATGCTCTGCGCCATGAAAGTGTCCAAGCTTGACGTTGGCTCATCACAGAAGAAGATGGGTGGGTTGGTCAACGCTTCAGAAGCAAAGGACAGCCGCTTCCTCTCACCACCAGAGATACCTTTCCTGGAGCCACTAGCTGCTCCAATTCGGGAGTCTGCGCATCCAGTAAGTCCCATCTGTTAGACGAAAGGATTGGGGTTAGCTCAAAGAAAATAGAGGCAGTATTGTTTAAAGATAGTCTATTAGTAAAACAGCACGCTGAAATTATATGATCAATCTGCACAGAAGATGTGGGGTTAAAAAGTAATTATTGACATAAGATTATGAAAGAAACAGGTTAGTTGACACTGTCTGCCAATAGCCTTGAGACTGTCTGCCAGTGTCATTCCGGGCTATCACCCAAGTCAGTAAAATGGGATTTTGGTCCGTCTGTGTACTACATGACTTAATATACTCTGTATGTCGGAATTAAACTAACGCCTTCTCGATTTACGCTCAGTGACGTAGCCATCAAACATCAGACCAGAGTTTACAGTCTACATCATTTTTCTTCATTATAACCAGTGTCCAAGACATCCGCGCTGGTCTAGGACAACCAATTTTCTTTTCGACAATGGTGGCCATCTTGGACAGTTTCGACTGGATTATCACCTTTAAAAAATAACCATGAAAGCGTACGTATGGCCAATTCGTTAGTAGGGATGCGAGAGCCGGACTCTAAACAAAGCACACACAGAGAAGACTGGACATAGAGGCAAACAAATAGAGAAGTGCTCCAAATGGCAAGATCTGAAAGATCTATAATCAGAGCCATCCGAAAAAGACAATTGGGATTCTTTGGAAACGTATCGGTAAATAGATTAGAAAAACTGCTGCTGTGTAGAAAGAGAGAGGGCAAGAGGAGAAGAGGAAGGCAAAGAACAAGATACACAGGTAGCCAGAACAACTTTGCAACGAATATACAAAGAGAAAAAAAAAACGAGCAGATAAAGACGACACACCTGAAGAAGAAGAATTCTTACCTCTTGCATGACCTCCTCTACACGAGCAAGACGAGCCTTCTTACCCAGCGTTTTGTCCATGCGAAGCAAAGCCTGTTTAGGGATAAGAAAAAAATGAAGGACTACTACTTTTCCTGCTGCTTCTGTCATTGCTTATATTACTGCTGTAGCTGCTGCTAGTATTGAAGATATTTCTTTTTCTTCTGCTGCTGCTGTAAATTACTGCTGCAGCTACTGCTACTGCTGCTTTCTCTACTGCCGCGAATACAAATAGGATGCTACTACAGTCATAATGTTTACTATTACTGATACGATTACTACTATAGAACTAATGCACACACACACGCACCTGTGTGTGTGTGTGTGTGTGTGTGTGTGTGTGTGTGTGTGTGTGTGTGTGTGTGTGTGTGTGTGTGTGGGAGTGTGTGTACATACATATTCATGTACATGCAGATAAAAACACATAGTCAAACTGAAGAACAAGTGTTCCGACAAACCGATGGTTGACAGATACAATAACAAAGTATAAACGAAAGATAGAAATGCGCTATCAACGAAAATACTGTCATAGAAGGAAGATGCAGACAGACAAAAAAAAATCAACACTCGATCTATCGAACAAATATCTATTTTTAAAAAACAACAACACATAATTATGCGGGGGTGTTGCACAAATAAATGGACAAATAACTGAATCACAGACGGGAGATAAATTAATATAAACGTGTTGACGCGTCAACGGACAGAGACACGAACAGACGAACAGGCAAGTAGGCTGACAGAGAGAAAGTAAACCGAGATGATGGGAAGGTAGACAAGGGGGGATGTAAAGACAAAAATGATATATTACTCATACCCTGAACTGCAGCTGCTCGCGCACAGTGAGGGTGTGGATGAACAAATCACTCTGCTGTACGTAAGCTGACACATTCCTCATGCCATCAGTAATCTGAAAAGAAATCGATTTACTCTTTGTGGTCACACATTGCTTACAGCTGCGCTTTTCTCATAAGACATTATTCATGGAAAACTGAGCGAATCACATAACGCTTATTATAGCTATGTGCATGGAATATTTTCAGTATTGAAAAAATGGATCTTAACACTCGCGTTCCAGGTATAGAAAAAGGCTTAGCGAAAGCGGGGAAACGCTGAGTGTTCCGTCGTCCTACGGCATACAAATTATGACGATATTAAAGAAGACGGATAGAAAACATGTTTGAATCAATCTTTTAAATGATAAAAGCAATGGGCAAAACAGCAACTGCATTGGTGAGTAGAATTAATTTAATCTTCAACAAAAGCACGCCACTAGAAAATTCAGAAAACAAACAAAGCACAAACATGTCAACCTCTTCAAGCACATTTACAGCGCAGCGTAAAGATGTGTAGCAATAGAACTGTACTTTTTCTTAACAATCATCATACCACTGAGCTGGTTAGTTAAGGTTGTATACACGTGACGTAAAGACATATAAAATGACTGTCGTCAAAGCAGAAATAGTAGTTGTCAGTCCATCCGGTGGCGTTACAAGCTCCTTGCTGCTGGTTTCGTATAATATTATAATGCGTTCAGTAAACGATAATAAATGTAAAGTATATCCCCCATTTCGAACTACTTGACCAAGTGCGCAACTTCCAATGTCACCATAGTAATTACAGTGGGGTAGGCATTTCGTCTGTGATAGACAGAAAGCCCAAAGACATAGGATAGGAGAGGTAGGTAATACATTATTTTACACAAATTTCAAAGATATGGTCAATCTTTAGAGTTACAACCAGTTTTTTATCAAACAATTTAACTGTTTGATGGCTCAGTCGACACTATTTAGATCAAGAGTCGGACTTCGACCCGCCTGTCGTAGTCAATCCAAGCTGTGTAGTATACAAAGTCCCAGCACAAAAACTGAGATACTCGATAAAAATAATCCCTTCATAGGAATCGAACTTGGGTCTTCTGCCTGCAACGGCACTGCACATATCCGCTACATCACAAATGCCGGTCTTTGACCATAATAACAATATGAAGCTTCAGAAAAATTAAATTAAAAATAAATAATATTATAATAAATAAATAGGGAAATTCCACAAGTACTTACAGGCACGCCGTTGAGGTAAACCTCGCCTTTCGTGACATAGTCCTTTGTGTTTCTCATTGTCAGCACGTTGAGCAAAGTCGACTTTCCTGAGCCACTAAGAGTAAAAGACGTTGACAAGATGTTAACAAACTTCAAAGTAACTGGATAAATCATCACTTTACGTAGAATGGATTTGTCTGGAGATCTTAGTCTGAATTTGTGTCACGACACTGTGAAATCAGGACGTCGCTTGTCAATTTTTGGGCTTATCAATTTAAAATAAAGTTGAAGACAATA